GACATGTCATTTAAAATTCTAGATTTGGGGGGACTGGAGATACAGCTCACCCTGAGGCACTGGGTTTATCAGCACCACAGAATTTTTTTAAAGCATATAAAATTATATATTTTTGAGACAAATTTGTTACCTTGACTTTTAAAATGTTTCAATCTTCTATTGTCTTCTGAATACTCATTCACTGGGCCCTTTGATAGCATATTATCTTGCATTGCTTTTCAACAATAGGCACACCTACATGTGCTTCACAGACTAGAAAGAAAATGTGCTGTATTACAAAGCACTGTCCTTTCTTTCTATTTAAAAATTCTGCGCAGTGTTCTCAAACATCCTGCTATTTTTTCTCTGTTATCATAGGGTCCTTTACTTTCTCCAGTAGTTCTGAAATATTAAAATAATAAATAAATAAAAGGAGAAAAGGAAAGCTCCTTTTCAGACTTTCACTGATAATAGTTGTGTAGTTATAGAGCACATTGGAAGCTAATTGTTTTTAAATCAATAATTCCTAGGTACAATTCAGATCTTAATATTCTAGACATTTTTCATTGTAAGTATAGTACGTGACCCTTTGTGAAATATGTTTACATGAAATATTCAAGGTGCAGAATGTCATTTATTCAATGCTTGTTCAGTACCAGTTACTGCACCAAATACTTTACATGGCTTTAAATCTGACAACTACTATGTAGGTTATACATCATAGTGCCCATTTAGAAAACAGAAAACTGATAAATGTAAGTGAAAGTGGCCAAAGTCATTTAACCAACCAGTCCCTGGGGGTGGATTTGTAAAATATATTTGCCTGATTCTTTTTGGGAGGGGGTAGCAGGGATCAAACTCATGACCTCGTGCTTGCCAGCAAACTGAGCTAAATCCTTATTCAAATCTAAGTTCTCAATAATCACCACTGCCAGCTTCTTTGGGGGGATATTATTTCTAAAAATGACTATTTCCACTGCCACAACCCAGAAGACAGAATGTGAACGTCTAAATGGTATATGTTATATAGTAGGCTCTGACAGTGAATAATGACTTTTGGTTTTGTTGATGGAAACTCTAAAAACATCTACTTTTGCTTTTTACATGTGATGAATTCATTTGAACAATGTACTGTTAAAATGTTTGACTTTATGGATTTTGGCTGTGCTTTGTGGACTTTTTGGTGACTTTCGTGCAAGGTGATGTTTTAAAAGCTATCTCTTTCAATGCTGTGCTGTAAGTTGGCTCTGATTCTTTAGATTGCCTGTGACCAACAAATAAAAGTTCTTTGAGTCATTCAGTAGAACACTCAGTTCACCCTGTAGGTGTAGACCATCCAGATGCCATCTGAAGCTTGCAAATCAGATAAATGTGTAACTCCCAGATAACCACAAAACAAAATTTCTGTATAAATTTCTAAGTAGTCAAGAGATTTTACTTTATAAATGTGTATGTTTTGCTTCCTCTTGTAAAGTGAACACTGTAATGTTTGAACAAAGGTAATTCAACACATTACGGTTTTCCTCAGCTACATGTCACTTTGCTGTAGGACAGTAAAGAAGTGGCTGGTTCTGAACTGGGCAGGCACTGGTCACTGAACTCAAAATGAGATCAGCTGGAAAAAAAAAAAAAAACAGAATATTTTCATATCCTGACCACAGCCATGAGACAGATGCATAATTAAAATATAAAAATACTAAAAACAAGAGATTTTGAAGTCATTTTAAATGCATGGTGTGTGGGAGGATGGAGGGGTCAGGTAATTGCCAGCTGTGATTCAAGCAGTTTTCCAAGAGGGATATTTAACTGCTATCTTTAAGTATAATCATGACCCAAGGCAAAGGAGAATGCTGGGGAACAAAATCCCTTAACGGAAGTGCAGCATTTGACAGATGAAGTCTGTATTCATGTTAAGTATGTCTTGTCTAGAAAAGTAACAACTGTAGAAACAACACAAGAAAGAATACCAGAGATAATGCGTACAGGAAGGTGCCAAGATGTTGCTCAAGACATCTAGATTCTACCTTGCATGGAAGTGTAATAGACATTTTGAAAGCAAGACAGTATCATCCTTCTTCAAAAATCACCCTTTTTCCCTCCATGTGTAGGAAAGGCTGGGACCTGAAGAGAGAAAACCCATCTGAGAGACTCAGGCAAGTGCAGGGTGGATTATTTAAACATAAGACATCTGAGTGCCTAAAGCAAGTGAGGAGGGAGGGGAGGCTTGGGCCATGTGTTGAATACCAGCAGCTTCCAGGAAAGATTTTGAAGAAGCACAAATTAACTCCACTGGCTAAGGGTCTGGTCCCCATAGTCTAAGGTCTATAAATCTTGGCTGTCTTATTCAACCCCTAAATTTACCAGTTCTCAGTAAATATTTGATGAATGAAAACAAAATGAACAAAGGCCCATATCATTCAAACTGGGCATTTTAACACTCTGTACCAACATGTTGTTATGTTTGACAAGGAAAAAAATTGACTCAGTATGGAGGCTTCTTATGCCACTGACATCGTAAGACCTCCCTCAGGATATATCAAAAATTTTTGTCATTTATTCTTTATACCATAACTGGCACATGTGTTACAATGACATCTGTTTTGAGATATGTCACTAAAAATACCATGTCCTTAACTTGTGACTAGAAAGTTCCTCTAATATCTACTAAAGTACAAAGTCTTTATTTATACCAGAGAAAATATATAAATTCTGAAGCCAGTTGCTAACACCCTAATCGATTTTGACACGTGTGCATCTTCTGTGGGATCTACAGAATACTTTGGACAACCCCTCAAGTATGTAACAAATTCTACTAAAAATAGCTCAATTCAAGTCATTTTAATATTTCTTCCAGGTCTCCCAGGGATGGAGTACTTCAATTCCAACTGAAACTTTTAAATCAGGTAAATGTGCAAGCATCAAATAATGACAAAAATAGAGCTCCTATAAAAAATAGCAATGAGTGACCAAGGCCTTTAAAAACTACAGATAAATTTAGAAAAATATCTCCTTGATTTTCCATAATCAGTATCTGTATTTAATATCTCCATCATCAAAAATCTTTAAATATGGACAAAATAATTCTCTTTAAGGACAGTCATTTTGAAGGATAGTTGATTTACTAAGAGCCAGGAAAACTGTTAAAAGTCCATGAGGTCTTGCTTGGGGTTAATTCCTGACTCTACCGATTAAAGGGATCTATGACTGTTGACTAATCATTACTTTCCCTGAAGCTGAGTTTTAAAATCTGAAAAAATTAAAAGATTATATAGTGTCTCACATATTTAAAGATATAATGCAAGCATGAGTATCAAATTTCTGGGAAGATATATATATATATTTTTTTCAATAATTGGTAGGTGCCATTATTATTTTAAATTGATTTCACTTTAATAGAAATTAAAGAGATTGTGTGTAGTTTCTAAATTTTAAATTAGTATAAAAAATGCTTTGGAGCTGGCATTTAGCTCAGTGGCAACAGTGCTTGCTAGGCAAGCATGAGGTCTTGAGTTCAATCCCCAGTACCAAAAAAATTTTTTAAAAAAATTTAACTGATGTAAATTTGAGTATTTAACTTAAATCCAGTTCTGATTTTCTCAACAACTCTCTCTTTGCACTATGTACTAAAAGAGCAAGATGATAGCTGAGTGTGATGGTGCATGTCTATAATCACTGCATTTTGGGTGGCTGAGGCAGAAGAATCACAAGTTTGGGCTCAGCCTACAACTTACTGACTTTGTAAGACCCTGTCTCAAAACTTAAAAATAAAGGTGGGGTGTGCAGGTTATATCTCATTGTGAAGGAATTGGGTTCAGTACCTAGTAACACCAAAAAAAAAAAAAAAAAAAAAAAAAGCAAATTTAAAGAACTCAACGTCATCTTTTAAGACACACAAAGCATCAGTTATACCAGTAGTAGGTGTGTCTTTTCTGTTACTTTGGGTGTCCTATGATTCTATGGGCTCTGATACCAGAATGCGTTAGCAAAAGTATTCATTGCAAGACCTATAAGTTCCCTTATGGCAAAGTCATTTGTTTCTTAGATTTCTTTACAGAGCCTAAAATAGTAATGTAGACAGCAGATGAGAAGTGAAATATTGGATGAACAAACAGCTTTCTTTAGGGACACAGTGGTGTAACAGATACGCCTGATTTGACTCAGACAGCATTTTCTTCTTTGGTAAGTCCTTTGATCTCACACAGCCTGGAACAGAGGAGAAAGGCCTTAACAAATTGTTTTGAATGAATAATATTCCTTGGCTAAGGGTCTGGTCCCCATAGATTAAGGTCTATAACTGTTGGCAAAAGTAACAAAGCACAACAAGGACATTATTTCACTTAAAATCTCCTGAATGGATTAAAAATGCTCTGGTAATACTGTCATTCATAGTTCATTTTCCACCAAAGGTTCCACAAATAAATAGTGCTAATTACCTGAAATGTTATAATTTTATAGCTGTCAAATAAAGTACCGATGAAATGGCCAAAGTTTAGAGAAGGAGGTTCTGGAAAATCCTAGGACACTAATCCAAAATTGCATTTGAGCATATGAATAGATGCATCTTCATTACAGTCCATTGAAAGCATGGGCAGCTGAACTATGAGCAATTCTAAAGGAGAAAGTAATGAGATTTCTTTCAAAAATTGACATTTGAAGCTTATGGTGTATATTATGAATAAGGTAAAGGACACTTAACATTGGATAACTACACTGGCATTATGTAAATCCTAAACCATACATTTTCACAAATAAAATGATACGCTCCATAGATGTGTGTATATGTGAATGGTATTTATAGGAATACACAATTTAGTGGGGAAACAGAAAATAACAGGAGGATTTTCACATGAATTCCTCACACCAAAGGAACCAAGTGGCCTTAAGAAACAAGCTATTTTCATGGCAGCAGACGAAAGTCCTGTTACCTCTTTTGTCCTCCCATCAGGCTGTTTCAGGAAGCATTCCTGATTTCTCTTTCACATGAAACATATCCCAATGAACTTACTCATGTAAACACAATGTGGTTTTCTTTTAAAATAAGCCTTTACTCAATATATCAACAAGGTACTGTATAGTGTAGAGTGAAGTTTGCAGTTAACAAAGTGTGCGACATGGTAGGTCTCAGAGGATGTGTGATCAGAATCTTCCAGCCCCTCACAGTCCCTTGTCAGAGAGAACACACTAAACACAAACCAGAAGCAAATCAACATGTAGTTCAAACAATAACAAATCATCAGGATTAACTCTCAGTGAATATAATATCAGTCCCGTGGGCGATACACACTGGGGATGCCTCACCTTGTTTTAATTGCTAACAAATCTTACATCCCTGGACACTTTTGAATATGCCCTCATGTATATTTGTGTGCACACATGTGGGTGTTTTATACTAATTAAAATGCTTATTGCAATGGCCTTGCTTTGTGCTCTTCTAGTGGGTGTGCAGCTATGAAAACAAAAACTACAGGAAAAGAATCGGATCTGTCTTAACAACAGCATCATATACATACAAAACTTCCCCCATCAGTGAAAAGCTTCTCTCATTGCCAGCAACTGTCATTCAGTCTTGCTGAAGATACTGGAGAAGGATACAATCTAGGGTTTCCTATCATTAGTATTTTAACATGAAGAAGAGTACCAGGCAAGATTCACAAAGATCAAGAACTGGGAATTGTGTTTTGCATATGATTTTTCTCAATCGGACATGCTTTTAAGCTTTGCTTTTCCACGCTGGCAAAGAAAGGGACAAGCAAATGTGTTATTCTCATGTTGTAAAGTAAAATGTAATGTCTTCTGGCTATTGGTTAGACAAAAATGCTATAAACAAAAACAGCAAAGATAATTAACCGCTTCACTGTCAAAGCTGTTCCAGATGCTGCAGCTGAGGTCTGCTGGTCAATGCAACACCTGCTCCCTGCAGAGGACAAATGTGCCTTATGTTTTGATGGGAAACTTTGCTCCCAACCTGAGGGGCTTGTCTTCCCCAGCGGAGAAGGAAGTTCTGATTTACACGAAATGACTAAGACCATTACGGTCCACATGAGTAGGACACGGAAATGTAATATCAGCTACTTCATTATGACTTTTTCTCAGACTGCTCATATCACACTTTCTGTTTATAATCTCAGGGGGAAATGTCTAATATAGTTTCAATAAACATCTGGATAATTAAGAGATGGCATTATTTCTCACAAGGGAGACTGTTTCCCACTTTGTAAACACAGAACATAGTTCGAGGAACACTGCTCTATGTGGCCTGTCATTTTCCCAGGCAGCATGGTGGCACTGCCTCTGATGTCGCCATGATTACACATCTCCCCCGACAACAGAGCATCAGTGATTATCTTGGGTATGAGTAGCTATCTATTAAAACTGTGTGACCATAGGTATGCCTTTTGCTTTTGGAATTTCATCTGTACAGTGTGACAAGAGTCAAGAATATCTCAGCTGGTCAGATAGTAACAACTTCTTTGTAAGCCAGCTTTGTCTTAGGACCTTGGCCTGCAATGTCAACCTTGACCCTTGACTAATCACATCAAAACACATAATAATGATAGCAACAGAGGCCCAAATACAAAGCATATGTAGCTGTGAAACACATTCTTATGACTTAAATGCCAAGGTAACATCCATGAGGAAGGGCTGTTCAGCAATCTTCATGAGATGCATTAGAGATCAGAGCTTTCCGTGACGTGCTCTCTATCCAGGTGTAGGTGAGAGCCTCAGGTAGGTTATTACAAACAGAGCTCTGATTTTAATTGTAGCAATCTTGGCCATGTTGCACACAAGATCAGAATAAAGGCTGTGATTTGGTTCCATCTTTTGAGGAACACCTGCTAAATGGGAGACTCTTTCAGGCCACTTTAAGTATTTCACATGACCGAGTCTCCACAGTACCACATAAAGCCCAAATAACTCTGCAAATCTGACAAAATATTATAGGAAACTCTCCATTCTTATTTTTTCCTGGCCCAAAGCAAAGAAGTTTGAACAGTTGAAGATTCCACCAGAAGTTAAACATACAATACAAATACATGAAAATGATTATTCTGTGGCTAACAGAAATTAAAATTGTCAAAAAAGTAAAAGTACCACATTTGAACACAGTTTTATCTACACAGCCAAGGGGAAGAGGACAGTGGAAGGGAACTCTTCAGCTACATACACAAAGCCCCATGTCATTGTCCTGATTTCTGATGACTTACCGATCATCCTTACAGATTGTCTTATTCCTTTACTGTGTGGACCTATCTTTAAAACAACAGCCAAAACCCTCTAGCTAATAGCCTAAAATGGAAACCAGAGTCACTTTAGAATTAATTTAGATTAATCCATCGCTAAGTTCAGCTCTACTGACTGCAGTTTCAGATCTTGCGTCTACAACTTTATAGCTTCAGTTATATTTTCTGCTTACTCTGAGGGATGAAGGAGATTAAAACATATAAATTTGGGTATATTATTAAAGAAAATAAAGCTCTTACTATAAAGAAAAACTTGCATAGCATTTTATACCTAAACCTTTACAAAGGAGACATATCACAGTTTTATTTTGCTGTGAAAGAGAGAAAGCAAGATGATGGTGACACACATTTCATGAGTCCCTAGAATAATGATCAGTTGTAAATAAAATATGAAACACAGAGTGAAATTTCTCAATGTAATTTTGAAATGAGTTTTCCAAGGCTGTATTTTTTTTAAGTGATGGATGTGATCTATAGCCCTTCTATATCTAAGGGATGCCAAGGATTAAAGTAGATCATTTCTATTTTTTAAAGATGGATGTACTTCAAAACTACCTAGTAATAAGCAAAAACATCACACTTTTTCCTGTGCCTTCTGCATTTAGCCCATTAGCTCAGCAAAATTAGGGAAAGCCTTAATTCTCTGACTCGCTCATTTTGTATCAGTGGTCCTGCCAATATAAGGTTAATTAAACCCAAATCAGAGGAACATCCATGATTGAAAAAGAACAAATGGGTTCCATCGTGGAAGAGAATCAAAGTCAATCCAAGGTGAAAACCTGGTATTGCTTTCAAAAATATGCATTCTCTTATCTCTGATGTGTCTTTATCAGCAGTGAAAATTAGTATGCATCTTAAAATGTAAGACTACATTTGAATATGTTGTGCAACCCAAACTGATATCCATATTTTTTTTGAAATATTGAGCAGAGGAGGAAAAAAACAAAGGTGGCACAAACAACTTAATTACAAAAATATATGCAAGATGATTGGAAGACAAGAATTTGGGAAGGGGTACAGGTATTAATTCAAGCTATTTCAACATGACAGTAATGAAGTTGGTTGATATAGTATAATAGAATCACTCATCAATCTTTTTGTCTAGCAGTAATTTTTTAAGTAACAAGTCATTTTAATATATTCCAAACACTATTTCTTTTGTTGGTCTGAATATCATGTTGATATAGCCTCAGTGAAACTACCCAAATAATTCTTGTTATCAAAAATAATTCCATTCAATATAATTCTTCCAATTATTTTATTATCTTCTTCTAAAAAAGTATTCTAGAATATATCTCTGTTGAATGTGATTCAACCTGACATATGATTTAAATAGTGACACGCATTAAGGGAGTTTTCTTGCTAGGACTGATCATACATGTCCCTGAACATGACTGAAACCATACTCAGGTCTCTTGCTCTGTTATCACCTAGGACCAGAGAAGCATCAAGAGTGGTTTTTAAATTCCAATCAGAAAGCCAACCCCTCGGTTTTAGGATCTTTGCCAACCTCCTTTCGATTATTTTGAAACTGTCAGGTGGGTTAACTTATCTCATGGGAACTCATCTCTTCATGTTCTCTGCATTTCCTGCTCTGGATCAAATCAGGGTAACTACCTTCCTTCTTTTATTAGGTGATTTTTTTTTTCTTTTTACTTTTCTTGCAGACCAGGAGGTATAGAAATAGCATGAAAATATCTGGGCCATTTCTTGCTTTACTCATATTATTCTTCTTACCCTAAGGAGTCCATCTGAATCTGCCCTTTCACCTGATCCTCAGCTCTAAGAAAGAAATTCATTCTGACAGCGCCAACAGCAAAGTGGTTAATGTGCATCATAAGGAAGAATCATTCGTTCTTTTGCCTTGGCGTTGGGTTCTCATTGTACAACCCTGTACAGTACTTCAGCAACTATTTTTTTTAAGATTTAAAAAGCAAAGAGTTACAAAACTGTTTGTAATTAACTTGAAATAGAAAAGATAGCACTTTTTTAAATCCCATTATATAGTACACCGTATAAATTACAGAGTATTCAAATGCACAAATGCATTTGTGTAACATTTATCAAATGTAATTTGCGTGTCTTTATGTGCACACACATGTGTGTTCCCAAGAGTTTGGTTGTCCGCCTTGCTGTCACCAGGCATTTGGCTGTTACGTATGGCAGTGCTCCAGGTCTGGCACGCTGCTGTTGCAGTATCGCATGTTGTTGGGGATATGACAGTCTGTGTAATTAATGCCCCCATTTGGGGTGTAAATGGGCTGCAGTCTGAAATCTCCTTTAAGGAGCTGATCATTATTTAAGGAGACAATCTGAAAACTTGTTTCTGTCATCTCCAGGATGGAGTTGTCTTTCTTGGTACCTGCCTCACAATAGTCGTCTTTCCGCCGGCCCCGGTTGTATTTCCACTTCTGGGAGGTGTAACGCCCCTTTTTGTGCATGTGCCAGCAAAAGATGCTAAGCAAGACCACGAGCACAAATATTACCGCGCCTCCAATCAAGCCCGCCAGCAGAAAAGGGGAGCCCATGCTGTGGGATGTGGTCTGCTCATGGCTAGAAGCAGTGTTGCTGCCATTGTTCAAATAGGAGGCATGGGTGGTGGCTTCCGAACAGATGGTGTCTTCCATGGCACGGTAGTTAAAAGCATCCAGTGGCACTAAACAAATCCGATAGGTGGATTTGGGCTCTAAATTAACCAGGCTCAGGTGCTGCTTCTCACCACTGACAATGCGCTCCTGAACAATGCCCCCCACCAGACTGTGGCCCATTTTTACCCAGGTGAGTTTGTACGCCATCACAGTAAAGAGAGAGAGCCAGCTGACTTGAATGGAAGTGTCATTCACAAAGTGGATGGAGAGCTGGATCCGCTCAGAAATGGGTGGAGTCACTCTTTCTCTGCCATCCCAGTCTGGAATGGTGGGAAGTTTGGTTGCAGTAGGAGCTAGAGGTGTGTGGCTTCTGCTCGGGGTTGGAACAGAGAGTGTAGGAGATTGAGTCACGGGGGAAACTGTACTGGGGGCTGGGGTGAAGATAGGCAGGCCTGGGGTGGTGGTGGGACATGACAAAAGATTCATATTCAACTCCCTGACAGCCATCCCCCTGACTTGTTCAGGACCTTGGCACATGAATCCCCGCACGTTGAGAGACGAAGGGATGTACTTGAGCCATTCCGTGACCCATTTAATACTGCAGTCACAAAACCATGGGTTATTCCGAGCAGTGAGCTGCTTCAGGTTGGAGAGATTATCAAAGACACCTTGGGTCAACATTCGCAGCTGGTTGTTGGATATATCCAGCCGCTCCAGCTTACGGAGATTGGAGAAGGCTGTCAAAGGGATGTGGTTTATCTGGTTGTCCTGCAAATAGAGCCGGATCAAATGCGTACCTGGAAGATCAGGAGGTGGGTGGGAGAGCGAGTTGCGCACTATTGAGAATTCCTTGAGCTTGGTGAGATGGCTGAAGGTTCCTTCAGCAATGCCCTTGTTGGTCAGGAGGTTCCCATCCACAATCAGACGCTCCAAGCTCGTGAGGTTCTGAAAGGCCATGTCTGATATGACAGCAATGCGGTTTTCGTCTACTCTGAGTTCCTGTAAGTCCACAGGAAGGCCAACAGGCACACTGCTCAGATGGTTCTTGGACAGAAATAACAATTTGAGACTTACAGCTTCCCGGAAGGCCCCATCCTCCACCCCGACTGTGGAGATCGAGTTGTCATCCAGGTGTAACTCTTCGAGCTTCAGGAGCTGAGCAAGAGCAGCTCGGGAAATGGTCTGAATGTTGTTTTCCTGCAGATGGAGGACTCGGACATTCTTGGGAAGGTTCATGGGGAATTCATCCAGTTGGTTGCCATAAAGGTAGACCGTGTGCACGGACTGGATGCTGTGCAGCTCTGCAGGAAATCCAGCATTATTAATTTGGTTGTTGTGGAGGTAGAGTACGGTTACGCCCTCCGGGATCCCAAGAGGCACTGAGGTCAAGCTTCGCTCATTACAGTAGACAAAGTTCCTGTCACAGCGGCACACGCTAGGGCAGGCTAGGAGTTTTGACACTTGTGAATAGAGCCCCAGGGAAATCAGAAGCCAAGATTTCAGGAAAAGAGCCCCATGGCTGGGCCACTTTGTAGTCTGTAAGCCCATTTCTGAAACACAGAAACGAAACACAATGTGGCGGGGAAAAGAAAAAATAAAAACCAGGCAGGAAAATCAGAACGGGCAGGGTCCTGCCAAAGTCCAGAACGCTGGCTAGAGAGAATGTCCTGAGGGCCGATGTTGAAATAATCTTCCCAATGTCTCTGATCTCATCAGCCTATGCTGCCTTCTTTGTTGCTGTGCTCCATGTGCAAAAAAATTCAATAGGGAAAATTTTCCACATAGGCAGCGGGTGATGGCAAACTACCGGCCTTTACAGCACTCGCCCAAGTCAGGCGGACAGAACTCCCGTCTTCTGCTGGGGGTCAGGCTACTGATCTCGTGGTTAAGCGCAAGCTGCAATCTGCTGTAGGAAAGGAGAGAGAAGACAGTACGTTAAGGGCAGTCATAGAAGAATGACTGATATAAATATAAGCCTTTGGAAAGCAATGTGATTGAGACCAACTAAAGGGAGTTGGGTTAGAGTCGAGTAGTAGTTTACCAGTAATTTAGTTGAAAATGTATCCCAGAGATAAACACTTAAAATATCGTCAAAAGATAATGGTATTATTACTTCACATTGTCAATAATCGTGTTGTGAATTTTACAACCTCATCAGTATTTTCTCTTAGTAGTGATTTGCATATCCAAATACAGAAGTACAACATCACACTGTGGAAGCCACTGAAAAGTGGATAATGATCACTTACAAAATCCAGTTGGTCACGGTGTTGCTCAAGATGCATTTGGGACTTGAGCAACTAGCAAAACTCAAAGAAAAAGGCTGAAGCCCTTTTGTAAAGTTATGCATCTTAAAATTGGGGACTAATTCACATTTGAAATGTGTTCTTGTTAAGAAATTCTTTCAAAAACAGTACATTTCCAAAAACATTTATTATACATGGTGCTTCACATCCAGTGAGGCAGAAAAACGGTAGCTTTGTAAGCTTCCGATTTTTCTTCAAATGTCCTTTGAAATTCTGATAGAAAAGCTTATTTTTGTTTATTAAAGAATTTTAGAGAATAAAGATAATAAAAATTACACTCATCATCGAGATATAATCATTATTTTAACTTCCTTTTTCTATGTACCATAATCAAAGTAAATATTTTTATTTATGTATTTATTTTTTGCCTTTTGTTTTCCTAACAATTGGAACATTTTCCATGTCAATAAAAAATCTTTTTTCCTTTTCTTCTGACACTAGGATGAAGTATAACAAATAAAACACACAGAAGCATGCATAAAGGTAGAGAGAAGAGTTCTCTTGTCCTGTCTCGCCTCTCTTCCTCTTTGTCTTCCTCCATAATAGCATACACTTGAGTTACCAAGGAAACTGCCCAAACTCCCATCAGTGGCACTTTTCCTCTGATCCCCTCCTTTGGGACCTCCAGGTACAGATGAGCAGTGTCACTGTGATCCCTTGAAGAGCTGCCAAGCTCATGATTGAGAATAAATTATTTTCTAGCACAACAGCCTTCCTGTCAGTGAGTGCTTTCTTGGGTTCATATAGGGACTTGTAGCAAATTTTGAAATGATAGAAGACAATTTGTAAAAGTAAAGGCAATCTACAAGAAGCAATCACGCCTTCTTACTCCTGAATGTGTTCCATTTGTTTTTAGATTAGAGAAGTAAAGAAGTTAATTGAAAGGTGACAGATTTGATTTTCCTACCAAATGCGTTAATGTGATAGGACATGGGTATCCGCAAGTCCCTTAATTCTCACCAACACACAGAAATTGAAACGATTTATACTAAAATCACAGAGGATATATTAGAAATTGTTCCCTTAGCTATCTTTAGAAATATAATTAAAAGAGAAAAAAAAGTCACTGTAAATGTTCTTTAAATGTCAAGGATAACATAATTTTTTTCTATAATTTAAAAGATTATAGACCACTTTAAATGTCGTTGATAACCAGAAATGGTAAAATTCATTTTGCTTTTGATTCCTTAGAAACTTTTAAGCCAGAGGAGAAGCATTTTACCGAAAAAAACAAAGGAACATGATGCTTTCTTTAAAGAGAAGCACTAAAAAAAAAAAAAAAACCTGTGCAAATATGTATCTTTCATGTTTTGAGACAGGGTTTCACTATGCAATTCAGGCTGGCCTTAAACTCACTTTGTGGCCCAGGCTGGCCTCGAACTCACAACAACCCTACTGTCCCGGGCTTTGGAGTGGTGGGGTTATAGGCATGTGCCACTGTGCATGACACAAATATGTATTTTGCAATGAAAGTGAGTCATTTTTTCCAGAAGCCATCTCTCTACATGTTTAAAGGACAATTTATGCAAGGAAAGATTCAGAGGAAAAGTGAAGTTAACCCCATCAAACTGATGCCATCCTTAGCTCAGCTTTGTAGGCATTTTAACGATTCGTGCTATCTTGCTGCTCAAGTAGAATGTCTGCGCCAGCAGTCTGAGCCTGATTTGAAAAACTGGTACACAGGCAGAACTTGGGCCCAGAATATGCATATTAGCAAGAGTCCTGGGTGGACACATTAATATTGCAAAAGCATTATCATAAACATAGTGATGGCCTTAATTAATCACTCCTGTTTTGATTTATTAAATGCAAAATAAATGCAAAAGCGTGTCATATGATTCTTAAGAGAAAAGGCAGAAGATGTACTAATCCCTTTTCTCTCCAAGAGATAATCTAAAATTTCATTTTGCATGTAAATTACATTTCTATGTGGAGCAGTATAATAATCGTATATGGCATATAGCTTATGAAAAAATGTTTATTTTGATAATAAGCACAAACTTCTAGCAGAAACTTAAAGACTTACTTGCAATCAGAGCGGCCCACTTTCATAGAGTAATTAAGAACATTTAGTCTTCAGAAGAGGTAGTAAAGTAACACTAAAAGAATAAAATATGTTTTTGGGTACAGAATTCCCCAGGAACCACTATGGAAATCAGTGTGGAGATTGTTTGAAAAGCTAAAACTAAAAATTCCATTTAATCTAGTCATCTAAAAATTCCTTTTACTCCCATTCTAGGTATCGTCCCACAAGAGTCAAACATATCATATTAAATGTTACATGCATATCCATATTTATAGCAGCACAATTCATAATAGCTGAATCTTGCAAGTAGCTTGTGTGTCCATCAGATGAATGAATAAAAATATTGTGATATTTACACACAATGGAATATCACACTTCCAGTAAACAGAGTCAACTGTAGTCTTTTGTAGGAAAATGAATGCATTTTAAAATCTTAATGTTAAGTGAAATAAATCAGACAGACATGATTAAATACTAGTTGCTTCTCTTATATGAGAATCCCAACATACAAAGAATAAACTAAAAGACATATAATAAGAAGGAGGGAGATAAACTTTGTTCAAATGGGAAGAGGATGGTAGAGGGAAGGGACCGGGAGAGGAGGGTAAAAAGAATGAAAAGCAAAATAATTAAGATGTGTTATGTGTATGTACCAACTTCCTATGAAGAATAAAATCATTACAAAATGCAAACATGAACTTGTAAAAAATTTAAAAAAATGAGAAAGAAAAGAGATGAAACTCAGCTCAGAGAAGGAACAAAATTTAAACTACGGAGCACTTTCTCTTTTGCTTTACATTGAATATTTTGCTTCTAGAACGTAATGATTCCACACTTGCTAATTACGAGGCACTTCATTTATGGATCTTTAAATTTGCAGATAAGAACTGTTTTATAAGATGACTTTGAAATATGGAGAGCAAACATCTGTGTTCAGTTTGTTTTTTTCTTTATTTGTTTGAAGATTTTATGGAGTATTTTTCCTGTCTTGGACACTAGAAATTGTACAGAATAACAAATTGAAGGTGCCACGTAAAACCAGAAACTTTCATAGAAAGTAGGGAAAAATTTCAAAAGCTTTCACAGAACAAATATTCTTTAAGGACAACCCGCAATTGTTCTGCCTGTGTAATAAAGATGATAGTAACAGCAGCAGTTATCACAAGCATTTTTACTTTAATTCTTTTCACAGGAAAAAGGCTCGAAGTAGATAAATCATGTAAAAGCTTTCTCAAAAGTGTTTCTCTTCTAGTGCTGCCTAGTAAAGATTTTTCTCTTAATTAATTCCAGAAGTCTAGGATTCCAGGAGCGCTTAATAAACCCAGGGTATAAAAATTATAGGACAGAAAATAAGAATTGTCAATAAGTATTGCCAACCACATAAGACTGTAGATAAAATATTAGTGGTTTAATGGTCCAATAAAATATTAATGGTTTCAGCATTGTTGGGATTGTGTCAAGACAATATACTGCAAGACATGGTACAAATGACCAATCTCAGACAATCCCTTTCTAGGATTCTCCTAGAAAGTTTTTCAGCGTCCTGTTCCATTTAAATTTCTGGTGTTAAGTGATCAGTGCTCAAAATCAGACCCCTGCAGGTGCAGAATCCACGCAACTGCACTGCACTATGAATGTGTGTTATAATATGAAAACATGAGAGCAATTTATAGATCTTCTGCATATTTGCACATTCCTGAGTACAGGTTGTAAATATCACTCATATGACAATCAAAGTTTTATATTTTTCTGGCCAAGATGTGGTGGTTAAAAAGGAATTTGGAGGTTCACAATTATAGTTATCACCAACTTGAAACCATCTTTCTTTATCGTTCTCCTGGACCAAGTCTGTTTAAGTTTCTGATTAGACAAGTATTTTTCTTTCCCAAGTCAAAGAGAGGGAAAGAAATTGGAGGAGAAAGTGAAGAATGGGAGAGAAAGTGAAGGAAAGATGGAAAGAAAGGAAACACTTTATTTAAACTGTTGACAACTTCCTGGCTCCAGTCAGTCTAGAATTGAAAATATTAAGATCAAACCAAAAGAGTTATGCTAACAAAGCACACAATACTGTAACTCAGTTTAAGAATCGTTCTCACAAGATTTCTAATTGGCTCAAACAGAGGTAGGTTTAGAATAAATGACCACTGCTATAGATTTAAATGTGTAAACTTTAAGCACACACTCACTATGACAACACACTTCTCTCCATTCACTAGAGAACTCCCTGACTGCCCCATGTACCGTTAGATCTGGAATTGCAAAAAAGAAAAAACAAAACTATAGCATTTTTCCGTATCAGCCACCACTCACAGGTACATTTGATGCAGAAGGTAGAATCACTAGTTGTCTTTATGCTTGGACAGCAATTTCTCAAAGTTATAGACTAGAGATTTGACTCTCCGTCCTGAACAAAAGTTAGTAAAGCAGAATTTTAGGGGAAAACAATAAATTGAGAGAGTCCCAACAAAATACAAAAGTACATGGTTCATAACAAGTTGCCTTCCCATAGCTCCTATGTCTATATTTATCAGTCCACTTCCAGGAGTAACAGTGCAATGCCTTCAGAATCTTAAT